ATACAAAAACTACAATGTAAGAGTATACTAATATGTAAAACCTAAGAATTTGGTTTTTGCTCATCTGAACGCGGGCGGAGCCGCGGGCAATGCTAGTATCAATATAATTTCATAGATACTGTCGCAGAGTATTTTATACTTCTATACACAGACCACGAAGTAATCCTTACTAAAGAATATAATTAATTCGACATAAAAGCCAGCAGCTGCATGTTCTGTAGTAATATCTCAAAGCCAAATAAATCCTTGCGCTCGTAATGCGAGATTCCTTCGAGGTAAAACATCGCAAATTACAAAGTTTTACAAATGCTCAAAACGAGGTACGAAACGTACGCGCAAAACGATGTTATGGTTTAAAAATGCGAGAGATAATGAGGACACCACGTTATGTTTTTTAGTTTGCTTTGATGAAGGAGAAAGATGTCTGTCGGTCTTAGAATATTCAGTGAGCACTATTTGAAAAGTAAAACATAAGCATAGTGGAAAAAATCATATTTTTTGCCAACTGCCTTTGTGCTTACATAGTGCACGATTAAATCGGCACACAGGGAACAGCAGGATAAAGCTCTTGTTACGAGTGGAGCGTTTGCGCGAGTTATCCTGCACAGCGCTTGAAATGTTAATTAAGCACTTATATTTTTAAATTCCCAGCTATTCTAGTGCTGGCCTCGTTTTAAACTAACATCCTTTAACATAATGCTGCCCGTTGTTACAAATTTGTTGTTACAGTTTTTACAACTGTGAAGCCCACTTTCTTAATCTATACATATAATAAAATTGTAACTAAGCCGAATCTGTGTATTAAATATTTTCTGGAAAATCTTATTGAAATAGACATTATTATTGACACAGAGGCCGAATCTATAGTTTTTAGAATTTTTATCTGTCTGTTACCGCATCACAGAAAAACCACTGGAGGGATTTTAATGAAACTTGGTATGGTGATAGCTGGTTATCCGGGTCAACATATAGGATAATTTTTACCGCGGAAAAATATTTAATTCCTGAGAAAAAATGCAAAAACTGCATTGTAAGAGTATAATAATATGTAAAACATAAGAATTTGCTATTTGGCCATCTGAACGCGGGCCGGAGCCACGGGCATTGCTAGTAAATTCATAATCCTAATCATTTTAATAAAAAAAATCCAAACGCATAAACTACCAACACAACAATAGAAACCAATAATAAGATTCGTTTCACGGGAACACTCACGTGAGTGGAGTTATTGTTGAGTCTCGTTCAGCGTAGAGTTATATACATACTTAAATAAAAGCCGCTTCAGAAATCGTTAAAAAGTTTGCCCTCATTCCTCACATCCTGGGAAATAACGATGCTCTTAACCGATCATATAGTTGTTACGCTTCAGGAAGTTTACGAGTTCTGATGATTGATCCGAAATTGTATGAAAAACTGGAACGCGCACCACTCGTGTTATTGAAGCTCAGTCTGGCTCTGCTATCGATTTAAATAGGTATGTAGTGTATGCGCTGTATGCCTGATATAATTTTTATTTTAGGCATTTCCCGAAATAGGTTTCTAATATTTATATAACACTAATATATTATAAATCACGTATTCCATATTAAGGACTAGTATATTCATCGAAATCTTATAATATTAAATTCATGTATATCTATCTATACTTAATATTATAAAGACGTAAAGTTTGTGAGTTTGTGACGTTGTAGGAGGTAATCTCTGGATCTACTGAATCGATTTAGATGAAATTTGGTAACAAGATAGTTTGAGACCCTAGGAAGGACATAGGATATTTTTTATCCATGAAATCCCTTAAAGGGGTGAAAATGGGGATGAAAGTTTATATGGGGGATCAAGCTAGGGACGAACCCGAGCGAAGCGAGGGTGAGTCGCTAGTTATATATAAATTTATTTCATGTATCTCGGAAACGGTTCTGACGATTTGGATCAAATTTCGTATTTATTATAAGGTTTTGTTTTTTAACTTTATCTATAGCCTTACTCTGAAATAACCTAATTAATTATCACGATATTGATAATTGCCGAGCAAAGCTCGGTCTCCCAGGTACTAATAAATACATATTATATCTATACATATAAGAAAATTCTAAACGAGTCGAATCTGTACATTAAATATTTTTTGGAAAATCTTATTGAAATAGTTATTATTATCGATACAGAGGTTGAATTTATAGTTTTTAGAATTTGCGTGTCTGTCTGGGAACGTATCACGAGAAAACCACTGGACACATGTTGATGAAATTTGGTACGATGTTAGCTAGTTATTCGGGTGACCATATAGGATACTTTTTACTGCGGAAAAAGATCTTATCTCTGAGAAATCTATACTAACCGTTAAAATGTATCTAATACGAACTCGTGCGGAGTGAGGATGAGTCGCTAGTAATAATATATATAAATATATATGATAAATAATAGGAATAAACATAAAAATCACGTCAATCATAAAATTCCTTATTATATTGAAATTTAAAGTCGGTCAATCTAACTGCACAAGAGATGCACAAACGTGTGTCACACAATTATTTTGATACATACGAGTTAATTCCTGGTTAATTTTACAATAACATGATATAAGATAATATAATTTAAAGCCGACAAAGGCTAGTTCTTGAAAGCATGTTACATACATAAAAATCGTTGGCTCACTATTACAAAGTTCTATGTTAATTTTAATAAAGTTTAGTAATTTTTGCAGAGAACTTCGTTATTTTGTTATCGTAAAAAAAACATAGAACTATGTAAAATTGAATATTTTGTAGTTAAAGTGCCGCTATCTAGTGGTTTGTTTTTGCAAAACTGTAGCTAATGACACATAAAACCTTGTAACATTAACAACTAAATGAGTACGAAAATTGTAACATAGAACCTTGTTATTGTGAGCCAACGAATTACGTTTATATTTAAATATAAATAATTTCGACACATTAAGATATAAACGTAGACAAAAAGCAGTTTTAATTAAATAAGGCAGTGCAATAAAATGAAATTGTATAAGTTTTTCCGGAGCCCTCGAGCCAACTTGTTTACATAACGGTCGGGCTCGAGAAAAACGTTTACACGAGGGTTAAGTTCATCGCCCTTTTTATCAATATAATATATAAATCAGAAAACAACGGTGATGTCGAGATTTATTGTTAGAATAGATAAACCAATAGACGTTTTGGGTGTTATACATCGAAGTATCCAATAGTGTTATCAGTTCTTATGAATTATTCAACACTTTAGAAAGAGATAATTGAATTAAATTATGCTAAAGATTAGACGGCCTTTTTGATAAAACTGTAATCTAAACCATAAAAACAAGTTATTAACATAGACTAAAGGACCTATTATATATGTATGTAGATAGAGTCCGCCAAAATAAATGTCAAAATCAAAAAAAAAAAAGATACATATAGACGAACATAGAACCTCTTCCTTTTCGGAAGTCTAAAATAATATTTTTAACTGACTGATGATTTGCTGTTTAAGCTACTCTCGATTTTATCGTACAGAATACAGATAGCTTATTTTCTTAACAAAATAGTACCTATAAGTTACGTATGGGTATATAATTTTTGAAAATAATATATGAATTATAAAATTAATACTACAATATAAATTTGTTTTGCATTTTTCTTTTTTTGCCTCTGCTTTTGGCTTCTGATATTTTTTTCTTTATTATAATACTAGCATTGCCTGCGGTTTCGCCCGCGTTCACATGACCAAAAACCAAATTCCTAGGTTATTACATATTAGTATATTCTTGCATTGGAGCTTTTGTATTTTGTCTCAGAAATGACATATTTTTCCGCGGTAAAAAATATCCTATATGTTGACCCGGATAACCAGCTATCACCATACCAAATTTCATAAAAATCCCTCTAATATTTTTTCTGTGATGCGGTAACAGCACAGACAGACAGACAGACAAAAATTTTAAAAACTATAGATTCGGCCTCTGTATCGATAATAATATTTATTTCAATAAGATTTTCCAAAAAACATCTAATGTACAGATTCGGCTTAGTTACAATTTTATTATATGTATAGAAAATAGCTTAGCTATATTTTTTAATTAATATTTATTTACTTATCACTCAGTATACTGTATACAAATTGATTTTTTTTTTAATATTATTTTCTAACTTTATTGTTTGGCTTCATGTTTAGTTCTATTTCACTGTCTATATTATTTCTTAGCCTGAGTTTAATAATAATGGTAACTAATTCTCGAAGAACAAAACCTGTATTATATAACGGGACAAAAGACGTGGACCAAAACGTGTACCAACTAAAAAAATGTTTATATCATGCAGCAAACGTTAAACTTCAATAGCCCAAACCAGTTTAGCATCAATCCGAAATGTTATGTCCGGGGGAAATGGCCAGTTGTCGACATAATACCACCGGAAATACAAGTCTGGCAGCGAAATAGGAACCGATTTCCCCGCAATGTTTGGGGAACTAATGGATTTTCGACATCGGACATAAACCTCTAGCTAGAGCTAGGTTACAGCCAACCTGCTAAGCGAGACGAGCTATCGACCGACTTTAACATTTTATGGCTAACCATCTGATCCGACTGGATTTGGAAGTAGTTCAATGTTTTCTCACGATTTATTGCTTCTTGTAATTTGTTACGGTATCAACATTCAACAACCGACGAATTATATATATTTTAATTTTCTTATTTGCAAAGTAGAATATTCCTACAAATCGTTATAATATGGGTCGTCTATATGATGATATATAAATTACGAAATGTATATTTTTTCTATGAACTTAAAGCTCTTAAATAAAGCTAAAATCGAGACAGGACGTCTGTTAGGTTAATAAGTTTATGAATAAAATCAATGGGTATCTTTCATTATTAAAATATTCGCGACATATAACAATATATATATATATATTTATACCTATATGTATATATTTTAACGGGACATCGAGGTTAAAACTTTTATGTCAGCGTGTCAAGAACAAGAATAAAGAGACAATAACAGAACAATACGTACTTGGGCGCCGGCTCGCCTTCCGCCTCGCATTCTATAATGAAAGGCTTGTCCACCTCACCGGGCTGCGCCACTTGGAACAGCAACTCCTCCACCGTCGGCTGCTTGACGATCCGCGGCGGTGACGTCACTGCAAACGAATCACTACATAGTATAAAACAAAGTCGCTTCTCGCTATCTGTCTGTCTGTCTGTCTGTGTATGTATGCTTAATATCTTTAAAACTACGCAACGGATTTTGATGCCGTTTTCTAATAGGTAGAGTGATTCAAGCCGAGAAATTCATAGATTTGTAATTTCATACTAACCGTTATAACGTACCCAGGGACGAACCCGAGCGAAGCGAGGTTGAGTCGCTAGTTTTATTATAATTTGCATTGTAAGAGCCTATACACATGACGACTTTTTTACGTCGCCTGCGCATATTTTGAGCTGATAAACTTGAAATATGCACACTACGTTTCTTAAACTCGACGACAACGCGCGTAATATAAACGTATAGTGTCTTTGCTTATTGTGCGTTGATCAATTAAAAAAAAAATAGTTTAGTAGTAGCCGGATTAGACAGGGGCCGGATTACCGGGGGTTCACTGTATATGTATTCAAATTAAAGACGTGTAGACAGAACAACGTCTGTCGGGTCCGCTAGTATATACATATAACATATAGAATCTTATCATTGGATCTGTAATTTGTTGGATTACAAGGTACTCTTTTGTAAACATTTCCGGACTATAGGGGGTCTTAGGCAGTACTCTATAATCCGACAAATTCGATAGTCCGACACTGCCCTGCAAAATGTTTGTCGGATTACCGGGGGTCCACTGTACATATATAACACCACCAGACGTATTTAAAACGGATTTTCAGTTAATTAGCCTGTTTTACTCCAGGTCATAGTCTAGCTATATAGTAAATCTATCGAAATCCAATCGGATTTTTAAGCGTAAAGAAGTAACAGACATACAGACACACATACAAAACTTTCGCAATTATAATAGATGTTAATAATGACAAAATGAAAATGCAAAACAAAATTTTATCCACTATTGTTAGTGTAATAGCAATCATTTACAGCAATTTAATATTAAATATAGACTTTCTTATAATAAACTTGTTACATTTTTATCAAAAATAAGATAAATAGTGCAGTTTACATTTTGTACAACAAAAAACATCCTAAAATTGCAAATACAGTTCTAATCACGAACACAAATAAATCGCAAACAACTACATACTAAGAGCTATTAAAAACAAGTTTCCATGTATCGCAATATACCAATGTCACTGTGCAATGGCAGTCTTTACCTTTAGAAATAGAGAATTAAAAGCAAACCGGCTTAAATTTATTAAACAACCAAAATGAGTAGCCTATCTTTTAAACATCTGACCTAATATAAATATTTGAGAGAAGCTCCAGAGTGGTTATGTAAATTACTAGCGACTTACGGCTTACCCATGCTTTGCTCGGGTGCATCCCTGGGTATATTTCAATATTTTTAGCAGAACCCTAATTCTTTTTATAAAATAAATGTAGCCTAAGTTACTACGTATAACATCAGCTATCTGCCAGTGAAAGTCCTGTTAAAATCGGTTCAGCCGTTTCAGAGATTAGCCAGACAAACAGACAAAAATTTTAATATTGTGTTTTTCTCATATGTACCATTATGTTACTATACATACTTTCATATATGTTTAGTAAAAAAGCTGTTATTTTGACATTACAAACAGACACTTCAATTTAATTTATCTACTTCGTAATAGATTATCACTGGTAGGCAAAAAATATCAGGGTATTTAACATAATTTAGCAGCAAGTATGTTTTACATACACAACTAAAAAGCCACAATAATGAGTAATATTTAAATGATGCATTTAATAGTTATGGTTGCACCGTAAAAAAGCATGTTTGAAAAGATAATCCAGATTAAATACTATATGAAAGAGGTAAACTTTTTAAGATAATGTTAAAAGTTTAACTTGTTTTACTAGGCATTTCAAATAAACTTTTTTCTGTTAATTTTAATGCAAATATTATGTCATACTTATGTCATGGTCATGGCAATGGATGAAAAATATGGCAAAAAAACATTTGATGTAAAAGTAAAATAATAATAATATTCCATGATTGTTTAATAAAATAAAATATGATGAAATAGAAAATATATTTTACAATAAATCAAGTGATTGAAAAATAGAACTGAATATAACTTATCTATCTTCAATGGAACTTCATAATTTTGTTTATGTTTTATTTATTATAACATTAAAAATATATTTGGTTTTATTACTGTTACTTTTATGTACTGTATATTCTGTATAACATATTAATATATTATTCATTATAAGCTACGGACAGATATGATATAGGTTTATTTATGAAGAAAGAGAGATTATTTCAGATTTATATATAAATAATGGATTTTTATATGAATCATATTATGTACAAAAAATAATGCCCATAAATCAAAAACCAAACTGATTGTACATTTAAATTTTAATAATGATATCTACTCTTTTTGTATAACTTTATTTGAAGTAAAATTACATCCTTTTTATAGCTTTATTTACTTGAATTTATATGACAAATGGCAAACCACTGGAAACTTAATGTTATAATTATTCGATATCATTCAAGAGCATATTTTCTTGTTGACCTAGCAGAATTTATATAAAAGTTGAATGAACTTAAAGCAATAGAAAGCTCAAGAAGTGATAACAGTATCATGAAGTTCAATATAAGGCGTAAACAATTAAATATCAAAAAACTTACGCAAAGCCGCTGCTTGGGATAATATTGCGAAGAAACATATTATTTTACTGGTTTCCATTCTTGAAAATGTGCTGCTTCGTAGATCTAATAAGAAATCAAACAAGTCTATTTAGAATTAAAACACTTTTCTCCGGCACACATGTTCACCACACTCGATGACCTAATCCGAATAAAGCTTACAATGACAACACCCACTAAAAATAGTTCCAACAATATCACTAACTGCTGTTTAGTTGTAACAGAAAAAGTTGTTTTATATTTTACTCAGGTAACGGTAATTCCTTTAGCCCTTTATCATACACTATTTGACGACCGACCAAAAGCAAAAACACGCACTAACTCACTTCTGCAATAGTGGTCGGTAAATCGATAACTGCATTCGATATCTTTAATATACATTAAATACACAACATAAATTATAATTACTAAAACCTTCTACAGATTCATTTACCTATTAAGTCTGAATTTTATAAAAGCATCATCGCGGTTAGCCCGAGTAAATTATATTTACAGATTTTAAAGGCGGGGCCTTTGAGATTCTCGTTTCAACAGTGATCAATTCAACTGCTGCTTTTGCCATAGACTAAAGGCTTTAACCATGGCGGCGTTAGGCAATGACAATATTTTGATTTCAGTGAAGCAAAAACACAGACTATACATATGAAATGTCAATTCTTTTTGTCTATGGTGAAAAAAATGTAAAGCTTAGCACACACGTGACCAGCTATCCATAAGATTTCATTAGATCCGGTGATGAAATCGCTTCATGCGTACGCTACGTTAGTCTTGCATCCGATGTTCATCATCATCTTGCTGTATTGCGGTTTTTATAATTCATAGAAAATATATTTATGTATGGTTGTAGAAAATCCCGTATATATGCCATCTGTTTTAAAGTGATGCCAAAATTACTATTTTTTTATTGCTATTTTTTTAATGCTTATTTTTTTAGTAGAGCTCGTTTGCATATTAATTCAATTAACTTATCAAACTGTAGTATTTTAAATAATGTTCTCTTTGACATCTGTACGTGAGGAGAGATCAATAGAAGTTTCGATATTGAATGAAATGCGATTGTTGGTTTAATATAAAAAATATCACAGATCTTATTAATGTAAAATACATATACATTACGTAATGTGAAACTTTTGCATTCGCTATGCGCTCCTAACTCTTAGACTCTCTTTCGGTTCGACGATGTTCTTGCTCACTGCGCTGAGCTCGTATTTTAATTTTTAACTTTGATATTAAATTACTATGTATTTTTGAAGTAGTTTTTTAAAGTACCTATTTGTTTTTACCTTTAAAAACTCGCAATATTTTCATTGTGTATGCTACATTAATTATTTTCTTTAATAAACCATCCTTTTCTATAGAAAATAATTTAGATGTCACACATCTGCCAGGCAGCATTCGACGGCTGTAATATTTTTAAAGTGAAAACTTTTTTATGCAGGATTGGATGGGGAGTGAATTCATCATGTACAAGTCGTCATCGACACGTGACGTGGTAACGGTAACTCTCAAAGTGCCCATAGATCATAAATGTCACAAGCAGATAAATGTAAACAGTTTTAATTTACAAATTTTAATTTAAGATTAAATAATTAATTTGAATATCCAAAAATAGCAACTGTTTGTTTATAGTTTTAAGTTTTCACTTCTGATTCCGGCAGTCTCATGATTGTTTTTTTTGTTTTGTATTATAATAGGACTCTCCTCAAGAAGACAGAAAAAATATTCAAAATATTTCAGTCAGATGTTTAAAATATCTTAATATAGGAAAACGGCCCGATCGTTCTCGCCTCGATGGGAGGCCCATACTCTGCAGAGGGACCTTAAGAAAAGCCACAACAACCCATGAGAGTTAATAAGCTGAAATATTGCATAAACCTTGGTTTATATATTATTTTAGAAGTCTTTTATAATTTCGTATAAAAGAAAAATACTTTTTTGTAAATATCTAGTTTCCTATGCGTTAACGTCAAAGACTTAATATCTCGAGATGTTTGTCGCATCATGTAGAATGTCAAAACATAACTACATAGTAGGTACATACAAATTTTCAGCCATGAACGAATTAGTGGTTAATTCTTTCATGTTTTCAGCTTATTACTTACCACTCTTTCTAAGGAAATTTCTAAGGAAAATATAAAAATAAAAAAAACCGACTGAGTAAAAAGCGAACTAAAAATTAAGAAAAAGTTGACGAAGAAACAGTATTATGCAGTCAGAGACATATGTATGTCTGTATATGTATATGCAGCTATCATAAAACATATACTTAGTAACTTATATACATATAATTGATAATTCATGAACTATCAAAATTGGTTAAGCCGTTTAGTAATAGGTACATATACTTACTGACGGAATCTTATGATGAACTAAAAGTAATAAATCATCTATAAAGCAGAAGATATTATGTCTTATGTCTCCTATTTTAATTTTTAGATCCCAGAACTCATAGAACGTAACAATACATTACAGGATCAAACACAAAACCCTCCGTTAGCTTTCATCGCAGTTAGGTAAAAAAGTTAGTAACCGTCAGTTGTACCTACTTAATTTTGCAACTTACCTTGATAGAAGACTTTTTTAATAAAAAAATACATTGATATACGGTAGGTATACGAAGTTTCGAGACCTATGTACCGTGAATCAATTAAAAATTAGGACAACCTACATAATAATATATGATGCTACTCATTTTAAATAAATAGTAGTTGGAACTTGAAAATGGTTATTTCACTATTTTAATTGGGTTTAGAAGTCACTCACAGCTGCTCACTTAGTAATTCTGCAAACAATATTCAATACTGGCGGCTCACCCTCGCTTCGCTCGGGTTCGTCGCAAAGAAGATAAAAACAAATCTATCCCATGGGAACCGTACATTTTTCCGGGATAAAAAGTATCCTGTGTTATTCCAGACTATAATCTATCTCTGTGCGACCTTTGATTCAAATCCGTTCAGTCGATCTGGCATGAAAGAGTAACAAAAATCCTTTCAAACTTTCACATTTATAATTATTAGTATGGAAGTGTGGATTTATGAAACATTAAATTACGTTAAAGAACTCCTTTAGATGTTTGTCTTGGCACTTGTAACTTATTCTCATTACAGACTTTTATATAGAACCTTTTTAATTTTTTGTCACAAATCAATTTGTTGAGTTTATACCATTAATTAAATTTTAACGCAAAGGCTGTACAATTAAAATTTTATAGTTTCTGATCATTTTTTAGAAATGGGTGTGTACCTAGTAAATATTTAATTTGAAATCATATTTTCTTTTTATGTATCAAGCGCCTAATTCCAGTTCGTGGAGTAAAAATACATAAGGAAGATAGTAGATAGTTCAGGCAGTACATGAAAGACATCTCTGTGCAGTTTCGCTTATTTTAATGGTTTGGCCAAAAACATAAGCGGACTTATGGACACATTTCACATTATAATTACGAATTGTCTGTGAATGTTGGGTATTTCCCGCTCACTACTGACGGCCGGACGGATTTGAACGAAATTTATTATAGGGACTAGAAATAGGCCTGAAATAACACGTGAACTATATATTATACAAAAGGCACCTTGGGATGCGAGCAAAGAGCGAAGCAAGTATAAGTAGGTACTTAATTATATAATTAAGAATGATAATAACATGATATTTCAGACGACCAAACTCTAGCAATCAAAAAACGTCATAGCTTCTACACAACACCTACAACAGATTCATCTGAGCCATCATGTTCACGTGAATTTTGTAAGTCCGATATGGATGTTCCTGCTAATGATGAATATGATGTAATACCAGTGAGAGATGGAAAGAGTTATATAATAGACCATTTTTATAATGATAATAAGGATTCAGGTGATAATAAGCGTTCCATAACGAATTCAGAAATTGATAAATTAGAAATGAAAATATTAAGTAAAATTTCGCAAGAATTACAAACTGACGACAGTTCTGTTGGCAGTCTCGATTCAAATATAAAAATTTTCAAAACCACCGTACAGCAGATATTTGAGAACTTTTATAATAACATGCAAGATTTCGAGATTTATAAACAAAAGTTTAATGATATTTTGGAGAAGAACAAAGGAGATTCAGTGGGTGAAATGGAGAACTTTATAAGAGATATGATAAAACACATAGGTTCCTCGGACTCCTCTGTGTTGAATAACAGCAAATTCGAACGCTCAAATCAGGAGGAAAGCCCTAATGAGCCGATACCTAATATTACGGTAGAAACTTTTAAAAATGATAATTATTTGACCGATTCGACATTTACGGGAAGTTCTAAATGTAATTCTGAAACGAAAAAAGACGAAACTGTGAACATCTACTTATTAAGTGGCACTCCTTATCTAAACATTAAAATGAACGACCGCAGCCTTTTTTCTGAAATAAACATTGGACATCAATATGTCGATGGTATTAAAGAGCTTGCTTCAGCCGAGAATATGAGAAAAGTGGCAGCAAAGAAAGTGGAACTGGAAAATTATGTGAAGCAGAAAAAATACCATTTAAACGATAGAGATATTCCCCTCAAGAATTCTTGCGCAAAAAAAAACATACTGGACGAAGAGTTTAATGAAGAAAAAGATGAGGGCAGTAAATTTTTTATATTTAAAATTTGCAACTATATCTGCAGGAAAATACGTAAAAATGCATTTGGTTGAATAAATTTCTAACGAAGTATTATTGATTTTTTCTTCAATTACACTATATGTAGAGTCACCGATAATTATTTAAAACATAGTAAGTTAGTAATTATCAGTAAAAATATTTTAGCAAGGCTATGAAATAAAAAGTATAAAAATATAATTTTAATAAATTTATTGAGGACTAGATAAATAATAATACAGGAACAAAATTATCACGTTTCACCATTTTCTTCGAAATTAACAATATAATACCACCTAACCATAGTGATGTGCTTGCACAGCTGCATCGCAAACTCCTTCTTCATATGGAGAAAATGGGTGATAATTGGTAAATCCAGCATGATGAAGGCCTGTCCGTCGATCTCCTCCTGCTTCATCTTGTCCGCTATGAGTTTGCAGTCCTCTGTGCTGCTTAAATATTCGTACACGTCGTCCACCGACCAGTCTAATGGGTTTCTAGCTAACTTAGTCTTCCCTTTAATCCATGTCATTGCGGTGTCCTTCTCGAACATCTTATTATCAGACGGCAATGGGTCGTCTGTGCTAAATTTCAATTTTTTCAGCTCAGGCTCTTCAGAGTCCGACACGTCTGAGATGTTCTTGGCGTCTCTTGAGTTGCAGCTGCTTGCGTTTGTTTCGTTCTCCGTATCACTGTCCGGTGTTTGTTTTTTGGTAGCGCAGGAATTATTGTAAATTGTCTCTACATCTTTTTTGTTCCAGTGCGCCTCCTTCATTTGCAGAGCGAAGTTTGGTAGTTTCGCTCCACGCGTTTTCATTTCCATTTTGGGATAATTACTTTTGTTTTCGCGTTTTCTTCGCGTGTTTCTTTTATAATCTGTAACGCTTTCTGGAGAGTTCGGTCTTGTCCCTGACTCTGAGGGAGGCGTGGAGCCTGCACTGTGCTCGCTTTCGACAGACTCTCCATCTCTATTATTCTCTGTCTCTTGTGGTGGTTGTTCTTTTTCTCTCTTTTCTTGAGCTTTCTTCTTTTTCTTTCTGCCATTGACGCTGCCTTTTGGTCTTCCCCGTCGTTCAGTGCCATTATCTGTAAATGAAATGTAAATAAAATAAGTTTTAATCATATTATTAATTTAGTTTAAAAAATATTGGGTATTTTAAACTAAATTGCAAATTGTTATCAATTTATAAAAATTGTCTTTGTGATTTTTCCACATAATCATTTCTCAGGAGGATAGTTCAAAGAGAGATTTTGAGTGAAGCCAAACCATTTACGTACTCTCCCCATTTTCTTAAAGAAACCATCGCGACATTAATATATCTTCTGTTTTTTATAGAGGTGATTAAGGTTAGCGTAGTTATGGCTTTTTCACCGGGACGTTGTGGTGAAATACGTTAGTGATCCTACACAGTCCTGATAGTCCATTTTCGGAAATAAACAACTGGAAAAAAGGACCGATTGTTAATTTAAAAACCTTATTAAACTACGAGGCAACAGAAACACAATCGCAGGCGTAGTGTAGTGTATGCATAAACTACCTTGCAACATCCCATTGCCGTGAGTTTTAGTGATCAGATACCTTGAAAAACTTTCTCAACGATATTAAAAAAAATAACACGTAATGAGTAACTGTAACATCCTCTTGACTAATTTCGGCCACAGTGTACAAACTCACTAACATTAGCATACTGCGCAGGAGATACTACAGTATAGAAGTATGCGCGCAGACACAAGTACACTCTCTATTTCTGTCACTGTTATACCCTAGTGAGTACAGAAATCTAGCGTAGGACCGGCGACGTAACGTGATCTCCCAATCCTTACCCTGGACTGTTACTGAGAATTTCTTAACAGAAAGAATCTATTATAAATTTGGCGGAACCTAAGAGTCGAACTCAGGACCTTCGAAAATGCCGTACGCGCTACCCACTACATATGCAGACAGACACAAGTATTAGTGAGGATACGAAGGGAACTCACGGAAGGTGGACTTCTCGACCTGGTGGCAGTTGTTGGGGCAGCGCTCGGGGAACTCGTCGGGGCCGAAGAGGCTGGGGCAGGCCTGCAGGCGCACGCAGGCGGCGCGGCAGAAGGCCGCCACCTGCGCCGCGGACGTCGTGATGGGCACGTACGCGTGGTACGGACGCGTCTTGAGTCTGTTTGGGGTTTTATTATTAGTTGTTATACCATGACATTTTTCAAATTCAAATTATTTTATTCAGCATTAAATTATTACATTTTTTCACTGAACGTCATGAGTCTACTACCAGTTCGGAAAGAAGAAGCCTCAGATGTGAGAAGAACTGGCGAAAGAATTTATCTTTGTATGTAATTTTAATGCCGAATAATAAATTTTTTTTTTGGGGTAGACCACTCTTATCACTTAGTCTTATGAAAAATAGTTTACGTCCTATTCTCAGATCTACTGAATATACACACAAAATTTCATAAGAATCGGTCAAGCCGTTTCGGAGGAGTTGTGTTACAAACACTATGAAACGAGAATTTTATATATTAGATTTCTCTTGAAACGAAGTAGATATACGTAAAATTAAAATAGATGATTTATCTTTTCCAATTCCAAAGCGATGGATTTGAGTTTTGTATCTTTGAAGTCATAGAGACCAAATATACCAATTCGGACCAATAATCTCACTTAATTAGACAAGTTTAGGTCCTTTCATTTCCATTCGATCTTTCTCTATAAATAATTAATTTAATAAATTTAAATTCAATACAATCATCTTGAATAATCAATATAATAGATTATTAATCAACATAAAAAGTTTATTTTTTTTTAAATAAAGTTACAATAACACTATCTTATTTAATTAATACTTTTTGTATATAGGACCTCTTTAACTCTGTTTTCCATAATTTACTAAAGCACCATCATTACCAATAACATAACAACAAATTCAAAGAGAAATGTATTAATAATCTGTATACTCACTTTGCCCTTAACATTTCAAGACGCATCCCTTCTTCAGGTGGGCCTTCAGCCTCCCAATCTTTCAACAACTTAGCCGGCTTGTACGAAGCTGATATTATCTTATTTAGCACTTCCTTCAAAACCAGCAACAAAGGACCCGGACCCACAGCTTTTGGTAACTGAGACAACTTGTTCCTACTAATTGAAGGTCCGGCATAACATTTGTAGTTAAAGAAGATCCTATCACACCATTCCTCGCTGGATTTCATATCTTCTTTCACACTCTTCGGCTCTTCTACTGGTTTGGGCGTTTCCTTCTTATTCGTATCAGGTATATGGAGTTCATAGCTGTTGCTATCACACCAGCCAACGGGGAAGAGAAGATCACTGTCTTGAGAATACCAAAATTTTTCACCTATAGGTAACAGTTCTACACATAACATATGTTCCACTATTGCTACAATTGACGCCACGTGTATTTCTTCTTGGTTTAGCGGATTCACTGCTTCCAACTTCATATCAACTTCAATACCCTGTAATAGATTTTTGTTCCCGAAGCAATAGTCCGGTGCGGGGACTGATGATGTGTTAGATAAATACTCTTCCCAATCGAAAGACCCTTCTTTCCAAGATTTGGGCGGTTTGAATTCTAACTTGTTCCTTTGAGCCCATCCTATGGGATATATGTATGGGTGCATGTTGTCACACATCCAGGCCATTTTGGTGTCTTCATAATCTTCAATATGGTCGTCTAAAACAACTAGAAAGTGCAGGTTGTTGAATATTTTTAGGACTGTTGCTGGTCGGAAAGTCTTCATGTCGTGGGGACTCAGCGCTTCCACTTTCATACCGGTTGAGAAGCTGTGTGCCTCTAATGTTGGGTTAGGCTGTGGGAAGAAGGAAAAAGTCTTTTGTTCACAACATTTTCAGATAAGAAAGTTTATTTGTATATATGTATAAAGTAGGTATATTATGTTATTAATCGTACAACAACATAATTAATTATTATCAGTTTTTAACCCCCGACGCAAAAACGATGGGGTGTCATAAGTTTGACGTGTCTCTGTGTATGTGTGTGTCTCCCTGTTGTGGCATTGTAGCTCCCGAACGGATGAACCTATTTTGATTTCGTTTTTTGAAAGATGCTATGTTTGATGAAAATCGGACCAAGATGGTCAGGGGTTTTTAAATTTTTAATTCATTTTATATCATTGCTATTGTATCTATTACATTACTAGCTTTAAATAAAAAAATAACGATAATATCTTATATCTTTAAACGAGCATATTATATAATCTGAATCTCGGAAACGGCTCCAACGATTTTCATGAAATTTAGTATATAGGGAGTTTCGGAGGCGATAAATCCATCTAGATTAGTCTTATTTTGAGAAAACGCGTGTTTTCGAGTTTTCATGCAGTTTTATTTTGCATTGTTCCACGCAAAATATGCTCGGTAATTTGCACGCTCGGGCATAAGCATCGTGGTCAAGCGGCCAAGGTGCAAGATCAACAATCACAGGTGTCCAGGTTCGAATCTCGGTCGCATACAAAGTTTTTACTTTTGTTTTGTTTTTTAAATATTTATTCAAGTTTTTAGTTTAAAAAAAAAAGAAAATTGTACTTCAGGCCAAAAACTCCGAGCGAAGCTCGGTAGCCCAGGTACTAGTTATAATACTATATATAAAGTAGATCCAAATATTGTTTATATGAAATTTAAGTGAATCACATTTAGATATTACAAGACAGTGCGCGTGTGCGCAAACACAATCTACACTCTCTATTCCATTCAATTTCACTCTAGATGAGTGAAACAACGCCAAAATCCCTAAACCGATTACCACCGAGAATTTCATGATAGAAAACCCCAACAGCCACACTCCGCCCGACCCGGAACTCGAACCCAGGAACATCGGAACTGCGACCGTACATAAAAGTAACTAGAGCTAAACCAACTCGGCAGTCTGCAAATTACCTGAAATAAATCAGCTGGTGTTGGCTCCTTTATAGACTCTTCAGCACTTTGCCTCAGTTGTGTGCTCAATTTGTTTTTGCAAGAGAACTTGTTGATTTTGCTTGGATATTTGAACTGCCAGGGAGAACCCTAAAAATATATATTGAAACAAACGTCTATTAAATTATTAACATTAACGTACCAAATTTTTTAAATATATAAAGTTATCACAAACGTTGGTCAAGCATCAAGAATTTGGTACTCAATTCAGATAGATTTTTTGTGTGAATCTTACGATACTTAGCAATTATGATAATTCTTTTCTAAATTACTTTTTATTAATTTTTGTTTATTTTAAATTTATTTACAGTATTAAGAGTACCTACAATTTTTAAAATAAATAAATAATATGTCATAGGGATGGTCCAATATAGATTTTCAGAAAACAACTATATTTGAAATACTGTAACTTTGTATTTACAGTTAGCTGTTAGATGCAATACAACTGAACAGTTAAAGCTGTGAATAATAACCAAGAAAACTTAAGAAATCATACATTTTTACTACTTCTGATCCGATTTCTATATCTTAGGGCGCGTATACATAGAACGTCCGATTTTGCAGGATCCTTTTTAACTGATCCGTCGCTACTGGAGGTAATATTCACACAGCATTTTTACTTATTTCCGAATGACGACATCTACTTTTGATGACCTTCTTAAAAGATTAGAAAAGGATTTAAAAAAGAAAGACACAAACTGGAGGAAAACCCCCGCATCCCTGTGCCAAGCCTCGCGCGGTTTCGACCCGTTAAAACGGGTCAGTATATCTGTTGTATATGGGATTTTTTACTAGATCCGGAATACTGTCATGTATGTGAACTGGCTCATTCAACTACATACGCTAATAACATATACGTTTAAACGGACCTGTAAAACGGACGTTCTATATGTACGCGCCCTTATATGCATTTTTTACTCCAGCACCAATTTAATTGTTTAGACTTCATTGTGTAGAAGATGGTAAAAATGTAGATTTAAAGTACTTAACGTTTAAGTTACCTTTGAAATAAAAAGGTATAAACAACAGGTAAAAGACTTAAACAACTTTCAAAGCAATTGTTCCACTGTGGCAGTTTATTTTAAAATTTATATGGGACTAACTCTGTAAAACCTATTTATTAAAAACAGACAAATCCGTTCACAATTTACAAAGTTTGTACTTTGCACCTGACTAGGCTTGGAGTATATAAATTTACTGAACTATACAGTAAAAATGTAGAATGTAAAAAATAACAGTTGCGTTGCGACACTGTAAATTATTTGTCGTGGCTTTAGTAGTATCTATAGAATAATACTAAATTGTTAAGAACTAATCTATACTGATATTATAAATAGGTAAAGTTTGTGAGATTGAGTTTGTGATGTTGTAGGGGGTAATCTCTGGATCTACTGAACCGATTTAGATGAAATTTGGTAAGAAGATAGTTTGAGACCCTGGGAAGGACATAGGATACTTTTTATCTCGGAAAGCATCCCTTAAGCGGGTGAAAATGGCGATGAAAGTTTGTATGGGGAATAAAGGTAACGACGAACCCGAGCGAAGCGAGGGTGAGTCGCTAGTAAGGACATAAAGCCACAACAACAACAACAAAGGGGTCCACCACATACATCGGGATCTCCTACTAATACAGGATTGCTAGCTTCGTAAAGTAATTCCTACGAGTTCTTTTATAACATAGGTTGCTATGTGGGAAGAGATCACTATAAGTGATAAGGCCACCCTTACACTGAAAATTGACATACGTGTATGTAAATTTTTGTATTCTCTTTACATTGTATTTTTGTTGAAATAAAGGATCACATAAATTAAATGAATAAATAAATGCTTTTAGTTAGGTAAGTGTACCTTATTCGTGACGAAGCCGAAGCTACTTAGCCGCGGGTTGCAGAAGAACATCCAGAATTGTGGAAGATCATCGTCTGCGCCATCGTAGCGGAGGAGTAGACGACCACCCACGTTTTCGCATACCTAATATAAATAAGAAATATTTTGTCAAGTAATGAATGGAAGCTTAGAATGAAAAACCCATTGCAAAAGTTAAAAAAAAAATAAAATAAAAATTGTACTCGGATTAACTTAAAAACAAAGTTATTAAAAACAGCGCGGATCATATTCACTGCAATCTTTGTCTATTGTGACGACACGTTTGGCTCAGTTTGTAGTGACCCTTGCTACTTGCTGTGCAAGCGGTCGCGGGTTCAAGTCTCGCTGGGGCTGTCGAGGTTGTCTGAGTGAGTACGTGTCGTGACTGATGCCCTTTACTTGTCTATAATGGTCTTTTTAAAATTATGGCATTACAAATCACCATTTACGAGTACCACATAATAATCGAAAGTAGACTTTCGAAGAACTGAATAAATAAATTTTAATTACATACATATATTTCTACATACACTTCGTGTTTTTTTCTTTTAATAGAACAAGTAGACTTAATTAAGGAATTTGAATATACAAGAAATATTTAAAAAGTTACAAGTTAACATAATATTGTAAATAATCTTATAAATATAATTTTTCTGTACGTGTGTTTGTTAACCTACTCCTCCTAAAGAACCCGGCCGATTTGGATGAAATTTTCAAATTTGGTTCCTGGATGGTTTGAAAATGCAAATGGACCCACTAGGTAGCGCTGCAGTCGGTGTGCCACTGATCATCCGCTAAACGGCAGGGACGATTTTAATGATATTTTCTGTGTATGTTCTAGTGGGTCCCTGCAAGGTTTCAATTCACAAATGGATCCGGTTAGGTGGCGCTGCAGTTGGTGTGTCACTAAATTTTCATAAAAGATTCCATTTCCCGTGCAATAAATAAATTTAAATTTTGGATTAAATAAAATAAAAATCGATGTGTGTATGTTTCCTATGGACTCCAAAACAGTATGAGCCATTTTGATGAAATTTTCAGGTAATCTTCAGATTAGCCATACGGGTGATCCTGTGAATTTTGTTAGCGATCGGAAGTTTGGACGCGGGCAAAGCCGCGGGTACTGCTAGTATAATATGTACCTATATAAACCTACATGTAATTGTATTCGAAAACTCGAATTATAATCACAAAATTAATTACCGACTTATCTTTTACATTACTTCACGTACTCCCAACTTGTTTTTTGACTATATAAATATATGTACATTGTACGTATACTAGCATTGCCCGCGGCTTCGCTCGCGTTCAGATGACCAAAAACCAAATTCTTCGGTATTACGTATTAGTATGTAAACTTTTACATTACAGTTTTTGTATTTTTTCTCAGAAATGAGATATTTTTCCGCGGTAAAAAGTATCCTATATGTTGATCCGGATAACCAGCTATCACCATACTTCTTCTTCTCCCTGCCCATTACCATACTAAATTTCATTAAAATCCCTTCAGTGGTTTTTCTGTGATGCGGTAATAGACAGACAAACTAAAATTCTAAAAACTATAGATTCGGCCTCTGTATCGATAATAATGTTTATTTCAATAAGGTTTTCCAAAAAATATTTAATGTACAGATTTGACTCAGAATTTTATTATATGTATAGATGTTAGGACTTAGCGGTTCAATTACCTTTAGTTTGTTACTAACAATTAGTCAGGTTAACTTAAGGACGGAAATGTGTTATTGGGTACATAATCTACATACCTATAATAAAATTGTAACTAAGCCGAAAATGTCCATTAGATATTTTTTGGAAAATCTTATTGAAATAAACATTATCATCGATACAGAAGCCGAATCTATGGATTTTAGAATTTTTGTCTGTCTGTCTGTCTGTTACCGCATCACACAAAAACCACTGGAGGGATTTTGATGAAATTTGGTATGGTGATAGCTGATTATCCGGGTCAACATATAGAATATTTTTTATCGCGGTAAAATATTTCATTTCTGAGAAAAAATACAAAAACTGCAATGTAAGAGTATATTAATATGTAAAACCTAAGAATTTGGTTTTTGGTCATCTAAACGCAGGCGGAGCCGCGGGTAATGTTAGTACTTTCTTAAATTTACGCGAATATTTGACATTTTAAATAAAATTAATCTTTTCGGATTTTTTCGCAGATTTATTATGATTTTTGTTTAAAGATTTTACTTACCGTAGCAATCCAATACCGATAAGGATCGATTATATTCTGGATCTCCACTTTCATGCCCACTTTGATCCTATCTATGGGGGACATGCCTTTGTTGTTCAGTGCCTCTAATGACACCGACTGACCGACTAACAGAGCCTTTTTCATTATATCTATTATAGTATCGCCACATCTTTCATTAATTTCGTCTGGGGGTTCCACTAATTCGTCGTATTTTCCGCACCATCCTAAAGGATGCACTTTAGTATTGGATATGTCGCACCAAAAGTCTGTTTTGGCGCCTATAAATTTAATCCGGAGAAGATGTCCGCAGACCATCGTGATCTCTGCTATCCAGTATACGTCTGGGTTGTTCTTGTGGCACACTTCGAGGAGCATACCTTGTTTGATGCCATTATTGAGACTCGCTTCCACCTGCAATAGGTATAGGTATTTTTATCACTTGAAACCGAATTATATTCATCGAGAAAGCTTGAAATATGCGTGAAAATTTTCACAAATTATGCAACACTATTATGAACATGGCCCAGACTAGCAGGGCGACAAAGTTTTAATTCTATACAAAAATGTTCCATAGTCTCGCGACCATATTTTTTCTCTGTTATCAGAGAAGTACCAGGAGCAACTTGCACGGCACACCGCCCGCCGAGGTGGGCCGCCTCCCAGTGTGTTTTTTGGCTTCGCCTTTGGTTAAATTGACGGACGCTAATAAGACTCCCCACCACGTCAAGGTGAACGCACATTTGTTCTCGCGACCAAATGTAACCATTAATGTATAATATTTGCCAATAGGTAAGAAATCCGCTGTTCGTGATCGAGTATTCGACCAGCTGGTCGCAATTGAATAGAACGCGGTATTGCAATAACATAATTTAAACCGCTGGTGCTTGGTGGTTGCTGACGCTTTGTACGCGGCCGAAGTTGGCATTAAAAAGTAATAATCTTAATTTTTTTATTTCAAAGTCAACATACAAGTAGTAATAGGTGAAGGAAAACATCGTGAAGAAACCTGCATGTCTGAGAGAACCTAGCAAGTTTTCAACAGACATGTGAAGTCTACCAACTCGCAATTGGCCAGCATGGTGGACTATGGTCTGTTCCCTCTCGCATTGTGCGAAGGATGATTACTATATCTCAAATATCTACTTATATTTGACAAACAATCAAAATACCGTTAATTAAATAAAGATAAACAATTAAGTCTTGTTCTAAAAGTTCCATAGAAAAATTGTCTTTTATCACTTAAACTACTTTGTTGTGGGAAACAACCGTTCCATATAGATAGATTGAAGTAATGAGCTATGTAGCTATATTTTTGGAATACTTAAGATTTTTGGTTCTTCACGAATAGTAGATACCATTTTAGGGATAAAACATTCATTTATTGATTCATTTATTGAATAAGTAAAATATGATAAAATATGCAATAACCAGTTAAAATATGATACCTAAATATGCAAATGCACATAATCCACTATCTACTTATCTATACTAATATTATAAAGAGACAGTGCTTGATTGTTTAAATCTCGCTAATCTCAGGAACTAATAATCTGATTTGATTTGAAAATTCTTTTAGCGTTAGATAGCCCGTTAATTGAGGAAGGCTATATGCTATATATCATCATGCTACTACCCAAGGGAGCGGAGTAATAATCATAAATGTTAACAAATCGGGCAGACTTCCATAAATTATTGTAAAACTAATAATTATATCGGAAGTTTGAACGCTGGCGAAGCCGCGGGTACTGCTACTTAATTATAAATGTACTCACTTAATCAAAACCTTGCTACTATTCAGTTTCAGAATAATCTACATCGACAATGTTGCCTTATACGTCCACCACTGACTAATAAATAAATAACAATATTTGTGAATTTGATAGACAAAACAACACGTACCTATCATAAAATATGTATATCTTTACAAATATGGATCGACAATACGTAAGTATTTCTAACTGACTTATTAACGTGATTGCGCATAAAAATCTTTGCCACCATGCCACCATCTATGCCACCTCGAAGAGCCTAGAAGCTTTTGGTGTGTTTTTTTGTTAGTTATAGGTACTGTTAACCATAAAAAGTCATGTCTATTTAGAATATGGAAGTTGAAGAATATGAATGTGACATGTCCCTAACGGTGAAGGAAAACTTCGTGAGGAAACCTATGCATCTCTTAGAGAACCTAGCAAATCGAAAGACATGTTAAGTCCTCCAATCGCACTTGTCCAGCGTGATGGCCTACAACCTGATCCCTCTCGTACTGTCACACTCTATAAAGCGCAATTTACGGATTCACAATGTTTTCTCTATATATATACAGCTGTATATGGCATTGGCAGAATATTTTAATATGTTTAATCTATACTATAATAAAACTGTAGAGGTCGAATGTCTGTACATAGAAAAAAAATGCTAAAATCCGAGTCAGGGAGATGTAAGTAGAGAAATAGAACAAATCTGGATTTTTTTCAATTTTTTTTGTTTCTCTGTCTGTTTGTCTGTTTGTACGGGCTAATCTCCGAAACTATTGGACTGATTTAAATAAAATTTTGCATGGTGGTACCTTATATCCCCGGTCAACATCTTAGATACTTTTCATCTCGAAAAATTTAAGAGTTCCCGTAGGATACTTAAAAAACTATAATAACTTATACAGCTTAGTAAACAAAAACTATTGATTGGATTTTAATGAAACCTTACAATAATATAGTTCATAAATTAGAATAACAAAAAGGCTACTTTGTATCCCGGAAAAATGTATGGTTTCCGTGAGATAGATTTGTATTTGTTTGTCGAGAGGCGAACCAGAGCGAAGCGAGGGTAAGTCGCTAGTCACTGAATATGATTAAGCGGAATACCTAGGTATCCCTATTAATATTAATATTAGTCCCGCTGAGTTTCTATCGCCAGTTCTTCTCAGGTCTGAGGCTTCTTCTTTCCGAACTGGTAGTAGACATGATGAATAGATGACGTTCAGTAAAAAATTGTAATAATTTAATACTGAATAAAATATTTTGAATGAAAACCCCAAGATCCTCTAACAAAGTAGTCTTTAAGAATGCGAAAATATTTATTGGTTCCATTTTCATGCAGTAATTGAACAACGGCTCGCTATGATTATATGTATGTACTATGTACCTATATAGAGATCGGTCGAATAGCTATTTACGCTACGTATTATTCATAGATTATAATTTATGATCAGAATTACTTGAAACTTTTTATTAATGCTCTTCAATAAAATTGAATAAATACGTGTTTTAGCATTTTTCGAAATTCATCCAACAAGGAGGTAAAATGTGGGATGAAAGTTTGTATGAAACCTACCTTTTTATAAGTTTTTTTTTTGTAGTTTTAACGCGTGCGAATCGGCGGGTTTACTAGTAATAAATAAATTAACATTTCTTCTAACATCGCTTGCTGGCTTGAGAGAAGAAATATGCCATAGTCCACCACTCTAGACAAATGTAGGTTGGTAAACTTCACATGTCTTTCGAGGACTTGTTAGTTTCTCTAATATAAAGATTTCCTCACAATGTTTTTTTGTCCATATTAGCCAATAGTAATCACGTTAAAAAAAAGGCATATGAAAATCTCAGAAGTGCGAAACTAGAGTTAAACTAACTTCGTATTAATAAAAAATGAATATTATAATAAATCATTAAATAAGAACACAGCGAACCATAACAAAATTCTATTTGCTTTATATTGTAAAGGTGGTGGGATAAAAATTTATTACAATGCTCAATCTTCTCAGCCATACGGCAGATACGCGTATTGCAAAAAAATTGAATAAAATCTTATTTGAATCAAATAAGACAAAAGTATAAATTACACAACACATTTGGTTTCCGTAAAATGAATATTTGGCCAAAACTATGGAGCAATTAGATGTTGGTGACGTACCTATGACTTTTATTGAATTTTTGCGTATAGATGAATTATTAAAATTCATTTTTAATAAGAAAAATGTAGGGATAAACAAATCATATACGATTCCTTTTTGCTAGATTTTCCTTCAGGACTAACTCACGTCATACAGCAAGACGTAAGGTTACAAAACTTATATATTCTTAAATATTTTTTGGAAAATCTTATTGAAATAGTCATTATTATCGATATATGGGCCTTATCTATAGTTTTTAAAATTTATGTTTGTCTGTGACCGCATCACGAGAAAACCACTGGACAGATTTTGATGAAATTTGGTATTATTATCGCTGCTTATCCGGGTCAACATATTTGATACTTTTTACTGCGAGAAAATATCTCATCTGTGAGAAATCTATACTAAACGTTAAAACGTAAGTAGGGACGAACCCTAGCGAGGGTGAGCAGCTAGTAATCGTATGAAAATCAGGTTGAAAATGTATCTTCTAGATCGCGACTTCCTTTTTTATGAATAAAATAATATTATTATGCGTATTTTATAATAAAGTCCCATATACCCCCTTCGATGTATTTCAAAAGAATGTAGTGACTCACTGCGCCATTAACCATTTACGTCGCCAACGGCTTTGTATTATTACCAGACAGGGATAATTATCTGCATGACTAATAATACTTTCCCTTCTTGTAAGAGCCCTTAGACATCAATAGATGGTGTAGGGCTCGGCTTAGGCTCCATGAAAGTGTAAAAAAAAAACATATATTTACCAGTATTATACAATATCATAGACTCAGTTCATGCCAAAAAACTAAATTTATCCAAACATATAAACAAATGCAAGCATTATAGTTAACATTTAAGACCTTGGATCACTCAAATCACTACTGTACATAATATTTTATTCAAGGCCGAATCATTATAATGAAGAATCGATTATAGTCATAACAAAATTTTGTACCCATTAAATATTATGTGTTTATGAATTAGAAATTCAGAATTTACTTATGACTTATTAGTTGAGTTTTGTTTTGTTATAAAAAGTAAATTTTCCATGACAAGATTAAATGTTGAATAAAATATGTAAAGTAAGTTTATCATTGTATTTCTAATGTATTATTTCTTTCGTATTAAAATTAAAAATATTACCAGATTCCATTTCGATTCTGTGATTATTCTTTCTTTATATATAAAATATTAATAAAAAATAAATTCTTTTGACAATGGCTATGAAGAGAAAACTATTATATTGTTTTTGAATTGTTATATCAATTTATATTTATTAAGAACATAATATTTGATAGCGACTTATTGTAATTTTTAAAACTTATATCTTAAGTAAAAAATACTTAAAAGTAAAGTTACTATGTCGTTTTTAGAATTCTTAATTATTCTTAAACATTCAGTTTTAAAATAAATCTGGAAGATCTCTGTTTCAATTAATAATTAAAAAAAAAACATTTACAATGGAAACATTATACATAATAATATGGTTGTTCGTCCTGTATTAAATATTGTTATATTAATATTATATCGGCTGTTACTTAAGCAGCCATATATTAAAATAATAATTAGGCCACTTGTCCAATTATTATTTAAATATATGCCTATTATGAATTTAAAATAAATAAAATTATAATTAAAAAAAATTTATATTTACAAAGCTTGCTTTCTAAAAGTATATTATTTTTAGATGTCTAATATTACTTAATATTAAAAAGAAATAAAATAACAAGCAATTAATAGGTAATCTTAAGTCAATACATTAAAAACCTCTATTAAGGCTTTATTTTTATCAACAATAGATATCAGATCATAATAAATAATATTTTTTTAATTATGTTATGGACTTTTTTAAAACAAATATTTATTGATTTTATAATATTTTAACATAAGTAAATGTTAATTAAAATGTATAGTAATTTTACTTTATTTTAAAGTCAAGACTTATCACTTAATTTTAAGCCACAATATAATACCTACTGTCCTCATAATTTTAATTACTCAATTATATTTTGTTACGATAATGAGGTGGCACTGGTCGTGACGATTCAGAAAATAACTGCCATATGGATTTTCCAATATTTTTATAGAATAATACATAAATTATCACTTGTAGTGTAGCAATTATAAATTAAAATTAAAAAGTTCAAGTTCTTGTTTGCTAGATGATCATCTATAAATAACTTTACATGGCCTTTACACTACAGCTGTGTTATAAAGATATTTTTTTTATAATATTTTTCCATTATCCTTGAAAAAAGTTGTCTTAAATATTTAGTAATTAACATTTTTATATTTTTTACATCTAAGTTCTTTTAAATAAATGCATAGCAAGCACATCAGAACTATTTTTTACATTATAAAAGAGAAGTTAAAACTCGCAACTTACATGACAAAATAATTCTTCGGGAACTGCAACGCTTTTAATATCTTCTAAATAATTGTTCCAATCGAACTCCATTACTTTTAAAATTAAACAATTCAAGTATTGACCTCATTAACTTAAAAAAATTAAAATTGATAAAAATATGCTCAAATATCCGAAACCAACTTAAATCCCCTCCCTACAATTTCAGTTCACTGAATGAAATTGAAATTCATTTTCCCCTACTGATTATCACCTTCTCTTTCTATCATATACATTATTCACATTGTACGAATAGTACTTAACTCATTCTTGTACATCATATAAATTATAAGGCTTGACTACAGACTACGATATTTAGTTAAATAATAAATGACGGTTTTACTTTTTAGTGCAGAAACAAAAAAAACGTTATAATTTTTTGGAGTAACAGAACAAAAATAGGTAAAGATTTCATCCCGTATGTCACAACTCTCTGTTTGTAAAAGGAATCCAGAGCTAACTTCATCATGTCGCTTTTTGGCTGCCGGTGTGCGCGCGCATCGTACAAATTAAACATCGTAATTTTTTCCAAACGTGCCAAAAGACTTCAAAAATATAGAAAATAATATTTCATAGTAAATAACATCTTTGTTTGTAATAAAATGTAATGAGTCTACAGAAATAGCCGTTAAAATATTATTTAATATGCCTTCACATGCCTTGACTGAATCACTCATGCCCGAACCAAGCTACTGGATCTAGAGTGAAAATTTTATTTCAATGCAAAACTTTTTACGTGTATAATAAAATACATATTATTGAAGAAAAGGTTTTGTTTGATTTTATCCACTGCCGTACTTGATTAGTAACTTATGGCAAACTAATTATATAATTATACCACTTTATAACGTTAACACTTATATAATTATATTTACGTTATACTAAATACGTGTACATGTATACGAAATACATATTTTAAATAGAAATAAAGCCACTGTTTGTAAATGCCCTTAATTTTTTATTTCTTCATATATTTTATATTAATTATTAGTAAATCCTTAAAGTATATATCAGTATATATTTAAATATTTTTTTTCTCTTTGCTATTAAAAGAATATATATTTTTCATATTACAAATAATAAAACACGAAACAATAAAAAGTATTTTATCATATTATTGTTTTATCTGTTTGATTGAAGTTATTGATGACGGAACGTAAGAGCGAGATCGAATGACTTGTAACATTCGTTGTCAGCTGAAGTCAGCTAAAATCGGCAGTCAAATTATATCCAAGTGAACAAATATGTGTTTGTAATTGACATTTTTCTGATTGAAGTAACATATTGAGTTTTGTTTACTATAAATTTAATAAATCTGTGCAGTGTTTCGGTTCTATAAAACTTATTTATATCAGGTTACGGTGATTTAATAATGTAAATACTTTCTCTTTACGGATAGAGTTGCGACATCAACAATGGAACGTTTTACACCGAGCAGTGTGCTTCTTTCTTTAACTTCCAACACCTCAAACGGAGCTGATGATGAGAATTGTATGCTAGTCAACACTTCTACAAGTGTAATTATAACGGGTGCGTACAATGGAATTCCTCAGACCTTGATATTAAATTTGATATCGTGGACATGTTTAATTTTATTGTTCACGGTTTTACGACGCACTGCGTGGAATTATGGACGTATGGCCCTGGTTCAACGTTCGAGGAGTCGCTGGACGAGTTTATTCTTTCGAGGAGGAGACAACGATTCACTGGTGGAAAGACGTAGTAGCACTGACGAGTCTCTAAACATCGATGAAGGATTCTTCACTTGGCTGCCCGTAGTATTCCGTCTCACCCGCGAGCAAGTTCTCGCGAAGTGTGGACCAGATGCAGTTCATTACTTATCTTTCCAAAGACATGCAATAACTCTCATGTTTATTGTAGCTATGGTCGCAATTGGTATTATTCTTCCAATTAATTTTTCAGGAACTATGCAAGCTGACTCTAGTACATTCAGTAGTACTACACTTTCTAATATAAATGGTAGATCTCCATGGTTGTGGGTTCATACAATTTTAAGTATATTATTTTTACCTCTATCTGTTTTGATAATGCGAAGATGCACTGGTAGAAAACCAGTCCCAACATCTATGACTGGAACAATAATGATTACGAACATATCAAAAGCTGATAGAAATGAGGCAACTATAAGAGCTTACTTTACTCATAACTTCCCTCATATTCAAATTGTGGACTTGCGTCTAGCTTATAATATTAACAAGTTAAATGAGGTACAAGAAAGGAAGGAAATGGTGACTGAAGCTCTTATTTACTCAGACACATATTTTAGAAAGACCGGCAAAAGAATTATGGTAAAACCAAGTTTATGTGGACCAGAGGTTGATGCTTTAGAATATTATACAAATGAAGAGAAACGTCTCAAAGATGAAGCCAAAAGGTGTAGGGCTATAGTATTAAACGATCCTCTTGGTATTGCATTCCTAACCTTACCCTCTTACCAATTAGCTGATCATGTAATTAATCACTTCAGTTTACATCGAGGATGGGTTTTGCAACATGCTACCAATCCTTCAGATATTATTTGGGAAAACTTAAGTGTCCAGCCTGGAGTCTGGTATATTAAAGCGATTTTTATCAATGTTATCCTATTCATTGTGCTTTTCTTCCTAACAACACCAGCTTTTGTTGTTAATGTTTTTAATTCAAGAGTTGCTAAGCCAGAAACTATGACTAAAATAGGCAGTTTAATTTTCGAATTTCTCCCTACATTACTTCTTTGGACCATGGCTGCAGTAATGCCAGCAATTGTGGCATTTTCTGATAAATTCCTTTCACATTGGACTAAATCTCAACAAAACTATTCTATTATGACAAAAACCGTATCATATCTTCTACTTATGACTTTAATTTTACCGTCTCTGGGTTTAGCTAGTGCAGAAGCTTTTGTTACTTGGACTCTCCATCATGAAAACAATACAATGCGTTGGGATTGTGTATTTCTACCTGATAAGGGTGCATTGTTTGTTAATTATGTAATAACTTCAGGATTTATAGGAACATCACTTGAATTGATTCGTTTTCCGGAATTATTCCTTTATGTCTGGTATCTACTACAGTCTAAATCTAAAGCTGAAAAGAGCTACGTGAAAAAGGCGATCTTATACGAATTTCCATTTGGAGTTCATTATGCCTGGAGTCTTGCTATTTTCTCCATCACCATGGTATACAGCCTTGCTTGTCCTCTCATTGCACCTTTCGGCCTTATCTATTTTATTTTAAAACATATAGGCGATAAACATAACTTATATTTTGCATATGGTCCATGTGATATGAGTGGGGTAGGAGGAGGACGAATTCATTCTACAGCAGTGAGACTTATCCGTGTTTCGGTTTTGCTACTTTTGATTAGTATGGCAGCTTGGGCTGGACTGCGAGCTGGGTTTGAAGCTCGAACTATTATCTTAATTATGGCTTCAATAGTAGCCTTTGGAACGTTTTTATTATTGAGTCCATTTCCAAGTTGTACTCCTCCAGCGCCGTTGCAAGAGGAATCTAGAATTCGCTTCCCAGAGTATGTAGCACCTGTTCTCGCAAAATCCATAGACTCCCCACCAACTACCAGTCCATCGACTCCAGATTATGGCGCATCATCGCCTGTCACCTCATACAATCCAGATCCCATAAATATATAAACAAGTTTCGTTTATTGATTACTTTCGGGCGTGTTATCACGAGATAAAGAGGTATCGTATAGATACGGATGGCGAATTTCATACTGATTGAAGGAGTATTTATATATCAATGTAAATAACTAATGCAATATTTTTATATCATGATATTAGCCTAGTCTTTAGGATATTTTAACGAATCTGTATTATATGATAATTAATTTTATAATAATTAATTTTCTCTCGGCAGCGTTTTTGTGCACTACATATTTGTAAAATTATTTCGGTCTCTATGGAACTTACACAACACTTTGCTTACTTGTCCACATTTATTATGGTTGTTAAAAATATTTACTAATAATACTAGATTTCGTCAAACTCACACCATCTTTAATCACTTAATTCACAAACACTTAACAATAAAGTACATTATTAGCTGGGTCTATTTTAATTATCAAGTTTATTTCAAACGTACAGGTTTGAGGCACATAGTTTTTATATTTTCCTAGTAGACTAAATGCGGATGAAACTAATCCGCTAGAACCTTTGCCATTAGGATAAATAATAAAAAAAAAATATTTTTTATAAATACTTAATTTTATCAGCACTACATAACATGTATTACATACAATAAAAGTACATGAATTTGGGCATAATCATAGTTAATGATTTTAAAACAACGAAGTCGTAACAATTTCAATCAATTCATTGGTTTCTAAACGAATAAACCGTAAAAAGTACCATTTTTTTTTCGAGTTATTCCCATTCAATGCAAATAGAATATGTTTAATAAAATTAGTTAGTTTTTATGATAAAATGTAGCCATTTTTGTATTAATCCCTGGTATTTTTTAATTTATTCAATATCCTTAAAAATGTAATATAATTATACACTATACGTGTCGTATTTTAACCAGCTAATGTATTCACAGCATAATATGTAATAATATCAAGTTTTTATGTAGTTATTGAATGGGGAATAAAGTTTTACTTGAAATTAGCTGTAGGAATCTTAACATTTACTTACTTTATCATTAGGAAAATATTGTTTTATATATAGTTGTATTTTATATTATTTTTTTTTTATTATATTGTGATTTTAACGGCTGTCTAATTTAGTGTGCTTTAAGTTATATTGGCCCAATAACATTGATATATAAAAATTCAAGATACCTACACAAGTAATAGTGTCTCAAAAGTGTCCAGTCTTCAAAAATAAATAACTATAGGATGGCAAAATTAAAACGCAAAACAATAGGATAGCAAAATTAAAACGCACGTTGTTTCGTTTAAGAAAGTACACTACGTGGTGTTCGAATTTGTTTTGACAATTAAAACTTTCGATTTTTGAATTTTATTCTTTCCCGATGGTGGACCCCAAATTTTTTTCCAAGTGGAATGTATTTTTTAAATACTAGAACATATCATAAAACACGACCCAGGAGGTTGCCACCAAAAATTTGCTCCAAGCTACGTTTAATGAATTTTTTTTAATTGATTTTTTTTAAAAGTACAAGAACTCTTTTCCTGTCACAAGTTACCTAGAATCAATCGAAAGTATAAGACTTGTAAAAAATACTAAATAAGATATTTGGTAGGAAATGTGTATTTCTGTTTAATATATATCAGTGCAGTATTTATAATTAATTTCATAATAAAATTTAATAAAGAATATGACCATTGACCTACCCATACTGCGTGACCCATTTTTTACAATTTTGTAAGCCTCCCCCCTCCCCCCACTAAACCCCCCCTCCTAGTTTTCGCGTAGTAATTCATAAATGTTTTAAATCAATTTTTGCAAACAGCCAAACGTGGTATTTTGAAGACAATCCTCCTCCCCCCCTTTAAACGGGTCACATAGTACCTATGGTTACGTTCCCTAAAGCCTATTTACATTAAGTATAAAATCAATGGTCAAAATATAATAGCATTAAATTAATCAGGAATGACGTGAAAGCTTCTAATCTCATAATACGTGTATTGATTTCATGAATTAATTTCATCGCGTAAATACAAAGCTAAAGTAGTGTGTCGAATGTAAATGACTGAAATAACTTTTAACTCAGGACAGGAAATAGTTTATTATGAAACAAATTACGTAATTATTCAAACTAGTTTCATGATAATACGATTACATCATGTAAAATCTTTTTTTGCAATGTAAATTCGGCTTAAAATATATGATTACAGACAGACACAAAAGAAAGTTATAATGTATATAAACTGTAAAGAGTATACATATTAAAATATCTTGGGCAGTGTCAGTTAGTCTGACCTAATGTATCTACGTAACCGGGAGTTACGAGGTTAACAATAATTGATATTAATAATTAGTTGTAATATTTGTTTGTATATAACCGATTAATAGATATATTTTGTTATATTTTGCATAATAATTATATATAGTGATTGTGTTACATCAACATTGTTTCATTGCTACGATAAATACACTGACGTGTTTCGCATCCTGTTGTTTTATTTATATTAATTCCATAGATAATTAACTTCTTTAATGAAAAGAAAAACATACATACATATTTGTAGTGACACTATTTGCTATGCCAGCGGTCGCGGGTTCGAGTCCCGCTGGGGGCATCCATTTGTGTGATAAGCACGAATGTTTGCACTCCAGTCATGGGTGTTTATATTTATAATATGTATGTATATAAAGTTATATATGTGTAGTAAGTACTAAGTATATCAACTATCTGATATCCATAACACAGGCCTCGTAGCTTACCATGGAACTAGATGGTAATGTGTGTTAATGTCCCAACATATTTATTTATTTATTGACATTAATTATGCGGCAAAATGAAAATAAATACTTAATTTGATTTAGATGGCATAAATAAGTTGAGAAAGTGTAAAATTGTAATTTTTAGGGTTCGTACCTCAAAATGTTAAAAAGGAACCCTTATAAGATCACTTGTCCGTCTGTTCGTGTGTCACCACCGATTTTCTCAGGAATGGGTGAACCTAGCAAGTTGAAATTTATACCAGATACTGAAGTCTATAGTCCCTATTAGGTGAAAAAAAAGTCAACACGATAAAAAGATACGAGCAAATCTAGATTTTATATACCTTCATTTTCAACTTTTTTTATTTTCGGCATTTTTCGTTTACTTGTGCTGTAAGACCTTGCTTTTAACCAAAACTGACAATTCTAGGTCAACCGGAAGTACCCTGTAGGTTTTGGGTCGAAAAACTAATTATATGGCAGTTCCCGTTGACCTAGAATCACGAAATTCGGCAAAAAGCTAGGTCTTATAGCACAAATAAAGGAAAAAATCCAAAAAATATATCTTATTGTTTATCTAATAATAATTATTAAGTATATTATAGATTTCTTACTTCTGGCTAATGCAGTAAACATGTTACCTACTAAATAGCATCAGTATAATTTGAATTGATATTGATAATAATAAAATTATAAAATATATTTCTATGGAGATATTGTTAAATAATAAAATATTGTTTTAATGTATCTCAGGTTGAGCCAGCGTTAGACATGTAAATTTGTAGACTCGACAGAACCAGTTATTGTGAGACCGTGGGAATGAAAGATTTTCCTGTAGTAAAAGGTGACCTAAATATTGACTCGAATAATAAATATTTCACAAATTTTATTTAAAATCGGTTCAGTATTTTTTGTGTAAAACGCACACAGATATACAGACAAAAATAATCATGTTATCTAACTTATTATTTTATTATATGTATATTGTATAGATTATTGTTATTATACGAGTGTGTAGGTATAGATACCACTTTATTCGTTATTTTCATCGAAAATCCACCTACTAACGATTTTTACATACTAACGACTTGGTGCATTTTGTATACAGACAACGCCATTTTTGCCAAGTTTTGTTACTACCCGTAGCCAATGTGCTAGGTACTCATAGACTATCTGTGTACCTACTCCTCCAAATTAGGCATTTTCAGCGTAAAGAAGTAAGAAAAATATTTAAAACTTCGCATTTATAATAGGATCCTACATAAAAAAAATGTTTTTATCCCTCGATATGTTTCTGACTCTGTTTCAGTTGTCAATACAAAAGTATATATTTGATGAATTAGATCTTTTGGTTCTGAGTAAAAAGAGCTTAAAACAGGCGAACAGCAAAGGTTTCATTTTATCCTCTTTATATACGGAACTCTAAAAATAACAAATATCTAATCTTTACTAATTACCTACTTCATCGATCAAAAAAGTAATACACAATCCCATGCAAAAGTTCTCTTAAAACTGTCACCAATTGTGTTTAGGTCATTATTCTAGTTAAAATAAATATATAAATTCAACCTTAAATGCAACGCTTACAGTTATTTTCACAAAAAAAAATAAATAAAAGCGCGCTCAAATGTTCAAATGAGCGCGCTTTTATATATAGCGCGGTGAGAACATTTTTTGTCGCTGATTAATTATGTATGTATCTAGTACTTTATTGATCGATGACTTATTTATATATTTTTATATCAATGTAGGTTTTATTAAGTGCACGAAAATTGTCTTTTGTTTATGAATGCATTCAATATTAACATTATCAGAAGATACCCTTTTTAAATAAAACTATCTTTTCGGATTATCCATCCACGGTCACGGGAGAGGCAGTCTCTCCCCTGACCATGGATGCTGTAAAGCATTCGAAACGTCGGGAGCCAAAAATCATAATAAATCCGCGAAATAATCCGAAAAGATAGTTTTATTTAAAGATTTCAAACATTCGCGTAAATCTAAGAAAGTATTAGAAGATACCCTATTTAAAAAGGATCCCATCAAAAGCGACAAAAGCCACATAGAAGCCAATACATATTTATTGGTTTCTATGTGGCTTTTGTTGCTTTTGATGGGATTCTATTGGTGTTTTTCAACAGCGTAGGTAGCTAATACTAGTTGTATTTTTTACTTGTAAAATTAATCCAGATTAGATATTAGTAGTCCATACGTAATGAGTAATCTAACTTCCCATATAAAAATAGGCAAAAAAACCAGTTCAGTCCTGTCTTTAACCC